AAGTGTCAACCATTTCACGGATTGAGAGCGGGTCGTTTTCAAAATGTGGCTCTCGCCTGAGCGCTGCGCACATTAGTTCGAAAAAAGATGCAAGAGCTTCATATATTGATGGCGGGTGGCTTTCAAAATGTGGCTCTCGCCTTAGCGCCGCGCACATTCGTCTTAAACAAATTGCAAGAGCTTCACGGATTGAGGGCGGGTCGTTTTGAAAATGTCGCTCTCGCCTTAGCGCCGCGCACATGAGCTTGATAAAGATGCAAGAGCTTCATAGATTGATGGCGGGTGGCTTTCAGGATATGGTTCGCGCCTTAGCGCCGCGCACATTCGTCGTAAAAGCATCCGAGAGCTTCACGGATTGAGGGCGGCTCCTTTTCAAAATGTGGCTCTCGCCTAAGCGTTGGGCACATTTGTTTTTTAACTTGACAAGAGTTTTGCGGATTCCGATGATCAACGTACCAGACATAGTGTTTTGGACGGGTTCCGGACTATGTGGGCGCAGCAGTTATGTTGATTCGATGTGTTGAACTCCCAAACATGGCTATCTGCCACGACCCTGGATCGGCAAGACGCAGCACTCAGGTTGATACGTGGCGTTGGAATCCCGAGAACAATGTGTTGGCACGTTTCAGGATCTTCAAACTGTTGACTTCAAGCGAGGCGGTTCCCTCAATGAATATGAACCGTTGTAGATGCCTATGACGAGGGAACTTGGGGGGAGGGTTAACTCCAACGTCGTTGATGACTGTTGGGTTTCCACTGGTCCTTCTCCTTCTGCTCCTCCCCCTCCTCATCCTTCTCCTCCTCCTCTTCCTCAAGAATTACTCAATATGAATACTACTCTCCCTCTTCCCCCGATGGCGGCCTCAAAGTAGCCGACCCCCCCCCGCGTCCTGTTTTTTTACACGCAGGATTCCCAAGAGTTGGGTTTCCCCTGCATGTTTTTCAGAATGCTGCCCTCGCCCAGGCGCGGGCCTCATTTTCGGGCCCCGCTCGTTCCGAATCGTGCTCCCGCTGCCGCGCTGGCCTCATTTCCGTGTTTCCGCTCGTTCCGAATCGCGCTCCCGCTGCAGCGCTGGCCTCATTTCCGCGCTTCCGCCCGTTTCGACTCGTGCTCCCGAAGCAGCGCTGGCGTCATTTCCCGTGCCATGCCACAGCACACGCGCACACACGCACACACACACACACACACACACACCACCACCACCACCACCACCACCACCACCACCACCACCACCACCACCACCACCACCACAACCACCAGCACCACCACCACCACCAGCACCAGCAACAGCACCACCACCACCACCACCACCACCACCCCCACCACCACAACCACGCACACACGCACGCACGCACGCACGCGCACCACCACCCACTAGTTCGCGGATAGAGAAAATCAGCGCCATGCTAAGGGATGGGAGGGAGGGGTAGGACGTCAGATATGACGCGCGCGCACCTAGCTTGTCCTCCTCCCCCTCCGCCTCCTCCTCCTCCTCCTCCTCCGCCCTCCTCCTCCTCCTCCTCCTCCTCCGCCCTCTCCCTCGAACGTGCCCTGGCGCAGCACGTCCGTCTATCGCCGGCGCCCGATGCGCCCCCGACGGAGCGCCGCTCGTGCCTGTGGCACAAGCTGCAACATTTGCTGCTCGCTCAGCGAGCCCTGAGCGAGATAGACAGGCCGAGCAAGTGTGAACAAAAGATAGGCACAGGCAGGAAGATCAAGGACAGCAGGACGGATGGGAGTGGCAAAGAAACCGAAACAGGCAACGGGACAGGATGGGAAACCGTAGCCAACAGTCCTCGTCCAGGGGAGACGGAAGCGCTGGCATTCTCCAAAGTAGTGCTTGAAGGAATCTCTCCCTCCACAGCCAAGCATGCAACACTGGCTAACTTCATTCCGATTATGCATCCTCTCACTCGTGGTCCATGCGACGGCCAAGCATTTCCACACAGCATTAGCGTCATGAGAAGGAACTTTGAGAAGAACTGAGCGGTACGCCTCCCAGTCTGCGGGAGCAATCTTCAACGCCAAACCAAGCCACACCGTCCTCAACCGAGCTCCGAACTGGCTGCTTAGACTGGGAAGGTACAAGGCCTGTCTGATGGCAGCGCTGGCAGGGCTCTGAATTTTGATATTGGGTCGGGGGGGCAGCAGCATCAGCACTCGCAACGGAGCGAAGGACCCCACGGGCAGCCCCGAGGCCAGCTGCGCCAGCACGGGCCAGCGCAGCATTCGATTCGAATCCAGCAGCGGCGACGCTCAGATGAACGACCAGGGGGCAACCAACCCAGAAGCTGGGACTCCATGAGCCGTTGCTAGCGTCTACCAGCGACAAATTAGCTCGAGCATTCTCGAGGCGGCGGAGGAAAAATCGCCACTCAGGGAAAGTACGCAGAGCAGCTCGCATGGGAGAGGCCATGCACATAGCGAGGACAGAGCTACGATGGGGACCTCCCCACGCAGACAATTCGAACCATCCCGCACGAGAGATGCAGCAGAACG